GGAGTCATCAGTTTTCAAATAAATATAGAGCGATTAACTAATAGCAAAAATTATAATCTTACGAAGAAAAACTCGTTTAGTTGCTCCTTAAGCAAGTCATTTTCTCTCCTTAATGCTTCTACGTTATATTTTTTTCACGATCTTTCCTTGCTCAGAAGTGCAGTCAGGAAAAAAGTGCTTTTTTGCAGGGGAGCAGCGAAACACCAAAGCCAAAAGCCAAAGCCAAATAAAACTTAATAAAATAAAACTTTAAGCCAAACAAAACTTATAACTTCCTATTGGTTTAACAGAGTAGTAACCTCTTGAGTATTTGACACTTTATAACATTTTGTTTAATCAAAAAATGCGGGAATTTGTACCATAAAATAGGCGAGAAAAGGTAGTACAAGCTATCGTCTTCTCGCAAGCCGTGACATGTGTAATTACCTAGTATCAGCGTAACATAACATAACAACGTACTTCAGTAAAAAGCAGTTTGGTGGGCAAAAAGGATGGGCCGAAAATTCTAGGCTTCTCTCGAGGAAAAAATAATTTGACACTTCTTGCAGAAGGTTCTGAAGTCTCGTTACTTTTCAACCTTCCCTTCGTTACTGGAGAGATGAGCAGACAAATTCTTTCAGCAAGGTAGACATATTTTCCCAAAAATTGTCAGCTCTGCGTTGGATCAGTTTGTTGTCTTTAAAGTAATTCATCAATTCTTGGTGGGGGCTTGCCGCCCGATTCTCCAAATCTTGACCCTATTTCAGACCAAAAAAGTGTCATTGTGCAAAAATTTTGGGAGTGTTAGCGGACAATTTATATCATGATGGGCCCTTGTACACGAACCAGACTATTTTTGAAACCGCACATTGTTTTTAAACCAAACGGTCATCCATCCACACGAAATCAGTGAAACCGCTTATTCGCTTTCAAAAATATCCGGATTCGTGTGGACAGGGCCTGAGTTGACAAGTGCAAATCTTGAGCATTCCCTGACCGCGACACCAGACAGCTAGTCCCTACTAGGGTTCATCAATCCTATCTTCTTGACCCCAATTTTCTCTCACTCTCGTAATTTGGCATATTGCATTCCGTGCACACTCTTAATCCTGAATGTCGCCCCAATTTTGCTTTAAATCCCGAATCCTGGACTTCAAGTGAGGAGAATTCCGGACCCTGAGAAACCTGTTAGGGATTCGCCTCTAAACGTGTGCGTGTTCGATTCTGGCTTGCATACTTTTAGCGTTTACTCGAAGTGGTTCGCGTGGCTTGTCTGTCGCGTAGACGGGACGTAAACAAACCAACTACCCGACAGATAAGCCACGCAAATGACTTCGTAAACGCTAAAAGCCGTGCAAGAGAGAAACCTCTGCTCGCAGTGTAAGCCTGAATCTAACGCTGGACTGGAAAATAAAAGGCCGCACAATTCATCAAGTCGGTGTTGCGATCATGGCTGCCATCCCACACACTGATTCGTTTCTAAAACTCGCAGCTGCAAAAGTGTCCTCTTCTGGGCACCATAAAGCTTGTGCAGCCATTTGTATTCCTTCATCTCTCACTGCTCCAATGTACACCACGCAGGCTAACTTGCGTTGTCCATCATGCGTGCCATTTACCGCGCCGCCCAACAGACGTGTAACAATATTACAGATGCTTCTGCTTGCCCTGTCGCAACTCGGAGGAGAGTAATCTTCCATTGTTAGAAGATGCGATCGAAGGACTTCTTCCAAGATTTCTTGCAAATGGATGTCTTCAGCTTTAAAGCAGTTTTCTACGCAATTATTCTCGTCCTTGGGTCTTTGTCGACGATACGCCTTGCGACTGTCTTCAGAGTTTTCTTCGAATTCTGCATTGTTACTGGCATCTAATTTTTCCAGATTGACTGCCAGTCCATGGATCTGGTTTGAGTAGTCATTTATCGCAACTTCGTAGTTATTCACCGTGTTCCGCACTGAGCTGGAGAGATCTTGAGAGAAGCGATCAGAAGGATCAGACCCGCGCCTTTCTATGTGTGCCAACTGTTCGAAAGCCTTACTTAAGGAAGGGTACATACGTTTAGCCAGTCGACCTTTATTGCCTCCCTCATTACGCTTGTACCCAGTGGAAGAACTCACTTTTCCCAACAGCTGTATTCGAGATGCGGCTTTGCGTTTCAGATACGGGCGCAGTTTCCTTAAGCTAGACTGGGCGTCGAAAGAGCTCTTGGCCAGGCTTTTCTCACAAGGTACCGCAGGATCTGACAATCTTCTTCCAGGTCTCGGCGATAATTCTTTTACTGCTGCGTCTGGATTGGATAAAGTTCTTAAGAGAGACCTTCGAGACTTTGGCGAGCTTTCTGCCGGTAACATCACGAATTTTTCTGCGGTCGTTTTGCTCTCTAAACTCTCATCAAACTTTGTATTTTTCACTTTTCCTTTTTGGGTTTTAACTTCTGATTTTTCAGCCTTTCTTATTTCCCCGTTCTCGACGTTCCTCTGGAGTTTGTTTGTTTGCGTAACCAGCTCTACATTGATCGGCCGCTGCATGCAATGCAGTTCAAGTAGGTTCTTATTAAAGTCAAATTGTAAGCCTTGAGCCGGACCGGAGGCGAACTTTAACACTGGAGTAATCTTGAGTGTGATCTCGAATTCCTCATCGCTATAGTTGCAGCCTTTTTCTTCGGCGTCCTTGATGCCGTAATCGGCCATCTTTTCGTTCATTATGCAGTTTGCTTTTACGCAGCGACAACACATTGCGGCCTAAACAGAAGAACTCAGTTCTAAAAAAGAAGACAATAGTTTGTCCAAATCGCTTTGTCTCACTGAGGACTTTGTTATTTGTCGCTAATTCTTTAAATCCCAGAAGTGTCTAGTTCAATGCGTGCTTCAAAAAATTAATTAACAAAAGATTTTATTCGTAGAAGTGCTCAAAGAAACAAACTGCAGGGGCACCCAACGAGAATATAGTTCAAAACCACTTAAACATAGCATTGTTAAGCGTATTTTAGTATTTAAACGGTATGTATATGCATATTTTTATCCCCTAAAAATTTTTCATCTGTTCGGATTTCATAGCTGAAAGTCTAGTGATCCGAAAATCATAGGGATCAAAACTTACCTTTTCGAAAATTTCAGCCAGAAAACAGGTTCCCGAAAATTCTAGGTGACCTTTTTAGGGTAAAAATCCGTTGAAAATGGGCAATTACACCAATTTTTAGATGTTTGAAAATCCTAGGATAGGTAGGCAAGCAAGAAATTTTACAAAAAATGTTCCGAAAATTCTAGATCTCAAATCGTCTTCCGAACAGATATTTTCCGAAAATTGACGTTGGATGCCCCTGTTTTATTTGTAGAAGTGCTCAAAGAAACAAACTGGAAGCTTCGGTGGCAAGGTTTAACTTGGATGGTTGTGCTTTTCATAAGCTTTACTTAATCTAATGCCCTTTCCACACCCGCTAAACACGTTAATCAAACCAGATTTCAAACAAAAAAAAAGATGAAAAACAGACACGGAAGACTGGAACACAGGTTTTCACACGAGGATTCAAATGAACTCACGTTTAATAATTTCAGTAGTTTGCACTAAATTTGCAATTAACTTAAATGAGTATTGCACCTATACGAAAAAAATGCTGCCCAACCCCCCCCCCCCCCCTACTTGTATGGTAAACTTTAGGATTTTATGATTCCCACACACAAAATGTGAATTCAAACCACCTCAGGGCATTGCACAATAAACAGTACCTACACAGAAAAATAATGCTCATTTGAATCACCTTCTATAGGACAAAAACATTACACACAACTGCTCCATAGCGTTTAATTGATTGGCCTTACTGAAAGATTTGCTTTACAAGACCCAAAATTTGCAGTCAACTTACACAGCACCACAAACAGCGTCACAGAGAAGAAGTTGTCCGTAGCTCTCATTTGCGTGTAATCTCCTAGGTTCCCCACAGAACCGGGGCTATTTTTTGGCGTTTTTGATAAGGCGAGCGAATGCAAGTGCGAAGCAAGCGAGGAGCGTGACACGCACGACCGGTGAATGCGCTTGAGGAGTTCTCTTTAGGATTTCATTACAGTCAATGTAAACTTCGTTGCACAGCTTAATAAAAATTCTTAGCTTTTTTCATTTTAAGTCATTTAATCTAATCCCCGTTTGTTAAAAGACTCCCTATAAATTTACTCCAGAGGCTCAGCTCAGGGAACGAGAATATTTCAGGAGCGACACCGGATCCATTGTCACTGCACACATGCTCTAATTAAGCATTGATTATAGAACTCGAATAACCAGTCTCGTCCAAAGAGCATTCGTTTATACCCTCGTCTAAAGGAACAGGCGACAGATCGTCGGTGCTGATCAAAATGATCGAAGTATCTAGGAATGTGATTGATTTGAAGCTTAAGGTTTATTGTCATCCTCAGAGATCTCTCTTTTGCGCATGGTCAACGGAAGGAAAAAAATGAGCTCTGGGTAACTTTGCTTCAGAGCTCTTTGTGATTGGTTCTTCCATTAAGTGGACTTCAGAGCACGGAAGGCCTCAGGTTTCGGAGTCGAAAATTCTTTCGTTTCAATAATCCTGAGATCAGTCAGAACTTAAGCGGAACTCATTTGCGAGCAAAATGAAAGTTAGAATCTCAGAAACTAGAGCACGATCTTTGGTTAGTTTTCAGAAGCACAATTAATATCATCACGCACAAGTATCATACCGCAATCCTGACTTTATGACAAACGTAATTTTGTCGTTGTTGCTGTTTTTAATTATTTGAATTCAATAACATCGCTTTATTTTAAAAAAACATTCTTGTTACTTTATGACTGACATTATTCCTTTTATAAGCCTGTTAACAATTTTAAAAACTATTAACGGCAAAGTTAACGTTGTATGTTTTTTTTGCCCTGGTGTGTGAGTTTCGATCCAGCGTTAGGCCGATTCCGGGTTGGGGTTCTTTGTTCTTTAGTTTCGATTTCTGTTATATGTTTAGAAAAAGATTCTAATAAGAAGGAAAGGAGATCTTTGTGTCATATTTGGATTAAAAAAAGGGAAAAAATTATATCACAAGAGGTTTGGAAGAAATAAATTTCTTACACAAACCAAATAACCAATACCTCTCCTTCCCCCTTCAAAAGTCAAATGGTTGGCCCCTTAGCAATGGAACATAAAGCAAACTGCAACGCAACTGTTTTCCTAGAACTTTGTAGTTTCAATTGTTATGCTTGTTCCGCCATTTGGACTATCGACTGTATTAAGAGGCGAGTATGAAGGCTTATTCCCAGTTGGTGGTATTTTAGGTGAACCAGTGGACCGCACTTCCGGTATTTTAAAATCGTGATCACTTGGTCTTGGACCAGAGAGGGTGGGGAGAGGATCGTCTTCTTCCTCTACTTCCGGTTTTGAAGCTGCAGCCTTTCTCGCTTTGTGTAACAGGCACACCACGATCGCAAATGCCACGAATAGAATAAACAACAGTGATGCTAGGCAACCAATGACGATATTGAGGCGAGTTAGTTGTTCAGCTAATTGAAAAAGAGAAAAGGCAAGGAGTTTGGATCTCAGCACTGAGAAATGAAAACATGGATAACTGTTCTTAAAGCATCAAGTTATAAACATGGTAGCCTGCGAGCAAGCTGTCCATTAATCTCGTACCCAGATCTCCCACGGTCAAGACATAGTGAGATCTGGGTACGAGATTAGCTTTCCATTTGAGGGAGTCGCAAGAAGTCACGCGAGAGTGGAACGCGAAAGGAGACGCGAGTGCGAAGGGCGGGTTCCCTCGCGAATTCTCTCGCGAGTCGTGGCTCGCTTCAATTCGCTCGCCATATAAAACGGTGAGCGTGTTCGCAGGCTATAAAAATAGTTACTCATAATGGTTACTACACATCAGGGCTAACTTAATAGATAAGTGTTTTTAATTAACAAGTGAACCAACAGGTGAAGGAACAAGTGAAGGTACCTAGCAACTATAGAAACTGAAATTCACCTTGTTTTTCATTTATGTATGGGTTATGGGTTGTTGTGATCTACACAGAAATATTATAAATGAAGACCAAACTGGCAAAAACAGCCGTTCCTCCTTGCTCCTCGCCAGGAGAAACAGCTAACAGCTAAAAGTCCCTATAAGCGGCGAGGAGCGAGGAGGAACGCGGCTGTTTTCGCAGACTTAAATGAAGACCTGTAAACTCCCCAATAAGCATATAAGTGTCATGTAGCGTTCTTTTAAAATCTTCCTCACCATTCACCACTTTTATCTTCTTGGAGGCCACACCCAAGGAGTTCTTGGCCTTGCACTCATAAACACCAAAATCATCACCAGAGGTTTTTTGAATATCAATAGCGCTTTTGGAGGAGTACTGCTGCGAAGGTAAAGGATCGTCACCCTTGTACCACGTGATTTCCGCTATTGTTGTGTTTGCAATTTCACATTTTAAGGACAATCGTGCTCCTTGCTTGAGGTAAAGCTCGCCTTCGTATGCAGTCCCCCACGCGTGCTTTAGAACGGGAGTAGCTAGGAAAGAATCAAGTAATATTAGCATTTTTTTAATTAGGGACAGGTTCACGGCTTAGCGCATGCTCATTTATCAAAATGCTGTTTTTCTGCCGGGACATGCTGTATCGTCTATGCAAGTAATATGATCATGTCATAATGTTGTCAAAGAACCAATCTGCGCACTCCCCTGGCAGTCACTTGCACTTGATCAACTTAAATATATGCAAATGGCTGTAAATTAATCAACCATGGAATAAAACCTTCGGGTCAACAATAAATTCAACGTTGGTAGTGTTGGCATAATCCACTAATTTTTTTCAGCGATCGATTTTAGTACTTCTCCATCCTACTTCAGGTGACTCTGAAATACAATTCTACTTTGAAATACACTCTGAGATCGCTGAGATACATGTGAGAGAGGTGATTAACCATTACAATTAATAATAAATTTGCTGCGAAGGTAAAGGATCGTCACCCTTGTACCACGTGATTTCCGCTATTGTTGTGTTTGCAATTTCACATTTTAAGGACAATCGTGCTCCTTGCTTGAGGTAAAGCTCACCTTCGTATGCAGTCCCCCACGCGTGCTTTAGAACGGGAGTAGCTAGGAAAGAATCAAGTAATATTAGCATTTTTTTTTAATTAGGGACAGGTTCACGGCTTAGGGCATGCTCATTTATCAAAATGCTGTTTTTCTGCCGGGACATGCTGTATCGTCTATGCAAGCAATATGATCATGTCATAATGTTGTCAAAGAACCAAATCTGCGCACTCCCCTGGCAGTCACTTGCACTTGATCAACTTAAATATATGCAAATAGCTGTAAATTAATCAACCATGGAATAAAACCTTCGGGTCAACAATAAATTCAACGTTGGTAGTGTTGGCATAATCCACTAATTTTTTTCTGCGATCGATTTTAGTACTCCTCCATCCTACTTCAGGTGACTCTGAAATACAATTCTACTTTGAAATACACTCTGAGATCGCTGAGATACATGTGAGAGAGGTGATTAACCATTACAATTAATAATAAATTGAAAAGAAGTAATTTAATTAATGGGCATGCGCTAAACCGTGAACCTGTCCCTTTAAAGAATTATATTTAGAGTTATTAGGCAACCTCGTTCGTGCACGAATATCTGATCGCAAAACGTCAGCTCCCTTTTTATTCCAGCTAGTACTCTAAAAGAGACTGTTTACATGCAAAGCTTGCTTTATAAAGCAGGCGGTTTTCAAACTTTACCAGAAAGTCATTCAGGTTTCCGTTGGACTGTTGATCGATAACCTTATTAATTTTTTCATGAAAATAGATCTTTTTAGCTTGTAAGTTTTGTTTTCTCAATTCAGACCACGTGATGTTCTCCTGGGAATCTGCCTTTTTTCTTTCATAAATTATGCGTGCATATGTACGTGTATGGGGTACCATCACGTGGTCTGAAATGGGAAAACAAACATACAAACTGGAAAGGTCTATTACAGGTCGCTTTATTATACCCTGGTCCCAGAGGTTTTTCTTGAAATGGTTCTTCGCGAAAGAGAGAGCGGCCGCTGGGACAAGGATAGCTTTTTTAAAGCTTCCTCAGGATGCAAAACAGCTGATACTTAAATATTTCTGTATTCGAGTGGGAGAAAAGAGATCTTACTTACCCAATGAAGTCACCGTAACAGATGCAATATCATCTGGCTGAATACCATTACTAGCTCTGCAGGTGTACAGCCCCTCCATAGCTGGCGTCTGATTTGTAATGACCAATGTCCGGTTTTTGTGAATCAACTTCCGGTCTTTGTACCATGTTATTGTGGGCTCCGGGCCTCCTCGGGCCGTGCAGGTGAGTATCAAATCCTCTCCTGGCACGAGAGCTCTGATTGGCTCAAATGGGTTTATACGAGGAGGGTCTGTATAAAGAAATAACAAAAAGCATATCTTGGAAACTATTAAAAAATTTCCGAATTGTTTATTCTTTTTCGGGATTTCTCCGAGGTTAAAACGACTCCACGAGCCTTCACGAAATTTCTCAAGGTATGGTTACGTAAGGTTCGCACTACTGACTTTTTTTTTATTTCCCTGAGGAAAGGGTGTATGATGTAGGATCAAGACCTACCAAACAGGAAAGTCGTTCCTAGTACTCCTCGGTTGTCTTTTTGGCCGCTATGATATAGGTACAACCCTCCAGAATGCCAGTTAAAAGCCAAAATGTCAATTTGAAGTCGTTTTAACTTCAGAGGGAAAAAAAAGAAACAATTTGTAATCAACAAAACCAAAATTTCATTCAAGAGAAACTGTAAAACATTCGGTGTCTTTCTAATTAGGTGAGCCTGCGAAAGTCAAAGCGACAGTCATTCTCGTCCCCAGAGCCCGTCGTTTCTTGGTCACGTGGTCGGGAAACGAGGGGCTCTGGAAGCAGTCGTTACCGGATGTCGGTTACAAATTAAGCCGAGTGGCTCTGGGGACGAGAATGAGCGATAGTCAGAAATACGTCTGCGCGCGCAGGCATTCTTCAGGGGCGAAGTACCAAAAGTTTGACCAACGCAAATATTGGGATATTTCGCAATCTAACTCAAAAATAAAACGGTTTCATTTTCTTCTTACAAGTTTCGCCAGTTGAGAATGTCTCGTAATGACTCCACACTCCTCCACCAGCACCATTCACGGCTCGGACTCTGACTTCATACACGGCGTGCGACTGAAGACCTGTCAAACTGGTTATATTCTGGTTCTGTACAACCTTAAGTTGCACCTCGTCATAATTTTTTACTTTGTACTCTATGTAGTATGACGTCACATGTCCCTGAGACTGTTCACGTGTTGACCACATGACGAGGGCTGAGTGACTGTCCATGAGATGGACGTGTACGTCGCGAGGTGTGGCAGGAATCACTGCAATTGTTAAAAAGAGTACCCGACTAGCTATCACTTAACAATTCTACTTTAAGCTATTTCGAGCCATTTAACGTAAGAGAAGAGAGCTATTTAGTGTTAAAAACTTCAGTTTTTCTTTCTTGTCGTGGATTGGTGCTAACTGACAAATGACATAAAGAAGATCAGGGGAAAAGACAGAGTTTTATCTCTGTGTTAAAGGATTTCTTGGGAATTAAAATATATAGAGAGACGAAGATTTTACAATGGAAAATACAAAATGGAGTCATTTCAGCGTGGCAGACTACTTTCTGCTGACAATTATTCATTCTGCATCTATTTCTTCATCGCGCAGTTTAAATATATGAAATTCATATTTTCTTTTATATGATTAACGGATTATGCTTGTTGCTTTGAGCCTTTTTAAAACCAACCTCTTCCACAAACGAACGAAAAAGTGAAATCAAACTCCTCGTCTTCCCAAAGTCCGGTAAACACATCCAGTTTAGAGCAGTTCTTTTTGTTTCCGGGGCTGGTATCCGGGGATCTTTGTGCCCAGTTCGTATACGGCTCCGCCGGAGTACCGTCCGACCAATAGAATTTCATATTCATGTCACGAGACAACCCTATCCACACGCCCGAGCTGGGATTGGCTGGTTTGATCAAATGCAGAAACACGAAGTAACTCTTATCTTGTGAGTTTAATTTCGCCAAAGTGCCCCTCTCTTCTTTGCAAACAGCTTCTGCGTCAGCCCAGGTTTTCTTGTCGTCATAGAGCTTGAAACAGGAGTCTCCTTTTGAGTACCATCCATTCCAGCAAGTTTGATACTCTGTGAATAGATTAAAGACAGTAGAAAATGGTAGTCAAGTATATGTAACTAACTACAACATTTTAGCTTAAGAATGGACTATTTGTGGAAATAGCTTCAGTAGAGATGTAGGCATATTATGGAGAAACACCCATGGAGCCGGAAACTGTAACGAGAACCACTAGTCACGAGAGCTGCACGTGCATCGCACTTTAGAGTCCATTTTTTTCGTATATAATGCAGCTACAACATGAAAGGTCATGACAAGACGTTTTATAGAAGTCGCGAACGTACAACCAATAATTAGCCTATTTCCGTATGGACTTGTACACGGTCACTCAAATTTCAGCTTAAGGAAAAAAACACATTTGACACAAATTGAACGAGTTGGAATCACTATCGCTACTGAGTCAAAACTGTGAAACGAGGAAGGTGACATTCTCGTTGCCCCCGCTGTCTTGTTTTTTTTTTTTACTTAAGGGGGAATTAAGAAAGGACTGCCTTTAGAGACAAAAACAACGCAGCAACAATAATAAGTTTGTCACTACACTGTTTTAAAAATTTTTGGTCTCATACTCAGTCAACAAAAAGAATAATGAGCCTCTGTATGCATGGGTATTTCCGACGAAATCGAAGTTGCGACGACCGCCTTTGATGAAGCGACGATCCTACAGATTAAGGCGATGATCGCATTGCCATTTCAACGAAGTTTGACAATGTTAGTCGTGCAAAGGTGGTAAAGAAATGTGCCAAAAAGTGTACTGCACGTTCAGAGTTTTTCTTTCCTTATTTTCTTGTTTTCGTCGTCGTTATGGTACGCTTAGCTCGCTAGAAGCATTACTTCTCAAAAAACGTTTTGATCTCGCCTGAAAACCAAGGAAAACGCGCGACAAAATCCACGTCCGCAGGTACCCCTACCGTAGAGGCTCAGTAATTTAATAAGTTTCATCTTCAACTTCACTGTGAAGATTAAGAAACTAACTAACATATGAGAGAGGTTTGGGACTGTTTCTTAACTTACTTGAAACCGAATGAGGAGCATAATCTTTTTCTTTTGTTTTATAGCCAATCAAATTTCTTCTAAAGTGTATACAACTCTCACTTACTGAACATTATAATCTCGTACACATCGCTTGCCATTTTCCCGCCATTTCCATCCAGGCAGTCTGTAGACAACCCGTAATTGTTGTAAGTGTCTTGCGCAGTAAGACTCGAAAGGCAATGTCCGCCATCTTTGATCGCGAAATAGACGTAGCCGAGTTTAAATGCGACGCGCGCACATTTTTGTAAAGCGTCCTCTCTTGTTTTGGGGTCTCCATCTAACAAGGGATCTTTGCCTTCTAATGAAGGGATTGCAGCGACAGCTTTGTCGGCATAACAGCCTATATGTCGTGATGGCACTGCGGGGAGATGAAAAAAAGAATCGTCTTAGGATTTTTGACAGAGTTGAAACAAGTGCGTCCTAGACATTTTTGAAGGAGGATTCAATTACCACAAGGATTTGGGAAACACTCAAACGAAATGTTAATTTTCTTGTGAGTGTATGGGTGCCGTGATTTTTGGACCATTCTCACGGCCTCTGTATACATTGGAATATTTATTTCAAGGAGACCACAAGATATTCTAATGTATTAGCAATAAATGTCAAATAAAGTGATTTCTAGAGTTAGTGTTATTCCGGAATAAGGTCAATCCAACACGCCCTAAGAGGTTTTACTAATGAAGAGTAAACACTGAGAATTTACCGTCAGCTAAGAACAGGGTGGTGGTCATCGAGGATGTACGAAAAAATGACAAAGTGGTTACTTTGAAGGCTTTGTTTCCTTGTTTGTTTGTTCAGTCCCCTTCCAACCCAACACCTTCCCTGCTACGTGGCTACTTCCCATAATTACCCTGGGCCCTGGCCATCTACTTAGTTTTCATATACAGCAATTTCAAGAAAGGTTGTCGGAAAAAGTGCACGCGACAATCCGGAAAGGTTTTGTGGATGGTTTCAGTTCACATACAGCCTCAGTTCAAAAGGTCTGTTACCTCTCTTTAGCTCGGGTCTCCACTGTTTCGGTTTTGAAAATTGTATCATTTTGGTCCTGATTTAGCAGCTAGATAAGAATCCAAATTGGTACAGGTGACGTTTACTCGCGACTCTAGCCTGAGGAAACAACCGACCGATCTCGCGACGTCGCCAATGGTTTCCTTGCGAAATGAAACTTGATTAACGAGCACAGTAACTCCATACTAATGACGCGTCACTACCCAGATCTGGGCATTGGTTCTGACGGGATAAAGGAAATTTTTAACCAAACAGGGGCACTTTTTCGGTGCGGAATTTCTGCGCATGCTCCTTAGACGTCATTTCGCGGATAAACCAGAGGTGGGATCGCAAAATGTTGGCTAGTTTCTCAGGCTAAAACAGCCACACTTCTAGAGGATAAAAAGATATGTTACTCACCTTCAACAAGACATCTATCTCTCACTGCTTTTAGCTCCTGTTCGGAAAGAGACTTGTTATAGATCTGTACACACGCTATTCGTCCTTTATAAAAATCCGATCCGCCTGGAACAGCTCCAATTCTCACTTCTCCTTGCGTAGCAAGTTCATTTAGACCAACGTTAAAACTGTTCACTTCTCGGCCGTCAATCCATAATTTCATTGTTCCAGTAGAGTTGTCGTATGATGCAGCCACGTAGTTCCACGATTCAAGTCGAATTTTGTTGCTTTTGATCGAATAAGGCAGATTTAAATTCCTAGTCTCAAACAAGGCTGCTAGTACATTGGGTCTCTCAAGCCATACTCTTACGCCGTCTTTATTGTTCACCCTGTAGCTAAGCAACGGCCCAGTAGAGTCTTCAGGCCGTATCCAAGCAACGAAAGTCATAGAATATCTAGCATCCAGACCGCCATTATTTGGCAGCTCTATAAAACTTGACGATGTCCCGGAGAAAAGGTATGATCCCGCGGGTTGCCCGTAATTCCCTGGAGCAAGTTCAACGAACCTCTCCTTTCCGCGGGGATTATTGCGTTTACTAATGTCTGTAGTACCATACTGTTTATTTAGAGGATAGAGCGCCGTAAGCTCAGGTAAACCTGCTTTGGAATGAAAAATTATTTTAATAACCAATTTACTTGCTTTGGAAAGAAGGCCTGAATGTAATCGGGCGCCACTGAAAGTAAACACGCTACTCTATGGGGTGCTAAAGTACCTAAGTTGGCTATGTTGATTCCATCAAAGAAAGCCTTGAGTAAAAAAGGTGCTGTGAGCCTAAAACCTACTTATCTCTTTACCACACTTTCTACTGTAGACTACGAGTAGTCCCCCATTTTTCCTCATGGATAGTACCCGCCGCGTGTCGCCTTTTCTCGCGTGGAGTGATTTTCACGCGCGCTCGCGTTTCGCTCGCTCTACTCCCCCTGAGGAAAAATGAGGGACTACTCGTAGTCTATTTCTACTGCCGGTCGGTAAACAATAATTGATGAGGTCTACATAATAAAAGACTGAGCGTTTATTCGTCTAAATTCGTCAAAGGTTTGCAGCCGAGCAACTCGCTAGTTTCATTGTTAGAGAGCTGGAATTACACACATGAGCTTACAAAGAGAGAGAAGGGGTCTCTCCGATCTATGCGAAATAACCCCAAAATTAAACATGAGTAACAAACGCGATCAATTTGAAATTTTACTTACTTTGATTTCAAATCTTTATACACAGAAAAAACTAATTGTAAATTCTACAGATAAAAAGTCTGTAATTGAAGGGTAAAGATGACCAAAGATACCGAAGTTTTGTATCATACACGTAGATATATATATATATATTTTAGCAACTAATATAATTTGCAGTCTGTCTACTTTGAACTGACCTCTTAATAACTCGGTCAGGTGCTATTCATGAACTTAAACCTTAAAAAATTTTAAAATTCAAATTAACAGGTGGCTTTTTATGAAAGATAGCGTCAAACATTGAAATCAGACTCTACAAAATTTAGTTCGCGACCTAATGTCACCTACAAAAAGTGAAAGTAACTAAATATTACTCTCAAAAAGGATGCTTCAAAGGAAAAATTGATCGTGTGATGTTTCGATGAATCGTGGGAAATCGAATGAATAACACGCGCTCAGTAAGAGTTATAAAATAAAAGAGTTCACCCCATGCAGGTACATTATAACTCTTACAATAAATATGCAGTATCATTGTATATGTCACACTGTCAAAAAGACCGAAAATTTGAGACCTTAAGCGTTTTGACTGACCGTGAAATCATGCGGTCAAATATCAAGGAGATTTAAGCTTGTCTGCCAGACTAGGAAGACTAGTTTAAATGATATTTTCTTTTATTTTTCATTTAGTGCGGATAATTATTTTAAACACGACGCTTTTAAAGTGATAAGAGAGCTAAACTCCACTTGAGCGCTCTTCCTGGGCTACTTCCTTCAAACTCTTCAATTCGTTGATCAGTACAAGTTTCTATTCTACTTCAGTTTTAGATTGTTGCAATAATTGTGTTTTTTTCTTTTTCTAAAATACGAGTATTTATTTGGCAGGTAATTGATTGTCTTGATTATAGTGACTTAAAAATTCAGATCGTAGAGGGCAAGTAATATCACTTCATGCCACGCAACAAGTCTGTCGGTTTTAAAATAAATATTTCCACATTTCCAAATATCACTTGCTCTAGAATGAAAAATTAGGTGAAACTCTTAAATTTGACATCCTCCTAACTCAGAATATTTAAGCATAAGATCTGTACGGCATGCAGCCAAAATGTCCATGTTGCTTGTTCGTGAAGTGAATACAGTATTCCATTCAATATTAACCCTAATGAAGAGTCGATTACCTTTTTACATACTAATTTTTCACTAAACTGCCTATCACCTACCTGGGTTTTGTCCAAAAGAGCTTCTTGCAAAGAATAAAACAGCCGTGACAGTGATGCTTAAGATACGGTACAACTTCATAGTATTCGAACACTAGATGTCCTTCAGCTCAACTGCTTTCCGTGACCAAGCGAGCGCAACATTACTTCATCGTTGCTTCTTATTTTTTACGACGGCTTAGCTGGGATCTTTGCGATGTTTTCAATAGGTTCACGGATATATCACTCACGCGATGCTTTATAACATCCCACTTTTTCCGCCGCGTGTCATCTCTAACCACTATATATGCGTTCGAGAAACAAGTGATCGATCGAGTGATTTTTTAAGCATAAAGCACGCAACAAAAACAATAAGGTCACGTTGTCCATCGGTGAACAGATATTCAAAGCACTCATGTCATTTGTTCAAGTGGAAACCATGGCAAATATCACGCGACATTGCAAATTAAATGAAATTTTTAAATATAACAGAGCATCGCAATATTGGTACAGTTACTACCGCTCAAAGGCGCGCGCGCATGCACTAAAATCATTTCCTAGTTTCAAGATCCCCAATTTTCCCTCGCGGCCGGCCAGTCTGTTTCGGATTGGTCACTTGGTCGAGAAGTAGCTGAGCGGTCGTCAAGGTTACGGTCTATCCCCAGTGCATTTGCCCGCGATACTTTGAACACGCGCGGTTATACGAAAGAATTCTCAACGAGGTGATTTTCATCATCATTATTCCAAGTTTGATGGCCTACCCTATATACTGAATAGTTAACACTGAATTATTGGATTCGGCTTTCATGAGCTGGAGAATTACGCAGATCAAGGAGCAAGACATTAAGAGGCTGATGTGAGCCCACGTTGCCCACTGTAATTTTCCCTTGAAACTCATAAAGTTCTAAAATAGGGCATTTTCGAATTTCGGAAAGCCTCACTTCCAAACTGAGGCCATTTCCGAGTTTCCAAAACCCTCATTTTCAAAATGAGGCCAAGTGTAAAAGCTTTCCTATGAAAAGCGTTTCACTTAAGTACACAGTAATGTTCAAGGAGTAATAAAAACTCCTCTAGTGGGGCTAATTTAACTCCTTACAGTGGCGTTATTTTCTGGTGAGTTATTTTAACTCCAAAAAGGAGTTTAAAGAACTCTTTTTCAGGAGTAAAAGTGACCCCAGATATTGAGGAGTTAAAAGAACCCCCAAAAAGGAGCTATCCTGTACCATGAGCCCTTGGCTCCTGCCTGTACCTAAAATTTTTACTCCACTTTCAGAGTTAAATTAACTCCAAAAGAGTAAAAAAAAAACAATGAAAGGAGTAAAAGTAACCCCATTTCGGAGTTATTTTAACTCCAGACTGGGTGTAAAAAGAACTCTTTTTCTGGAGTAAAAATGACCCCAAATTCGGAGTTAAATTAGGACAGATCGAGGGGTTATCCTCAAACTCGTCCCCAGGGCTTTTCCCTCAAAAAATGGGTGGGGCCCATTTTTTCAGGGAAAAGCCCTGGGGACGAGGTTGGGGTTATCCTGTACCTAAAATTTTTTCTCCATTTTTGGAGTTATGATAACTCCCTCCCTTTCCTTCTCTGTGCTATTAGGACGCGCTTAAGAAATCAGGTTTAATTTTGCTGCGCCAGAGGAGGGAGGATGCGTACATAACATTTCTCAAACGAACTTACACTTCTTCCGACCTGCTACGAAGCTTAGTGCCGCGAGTTGCGCACACAAGACCGTATGCCCTTAGAATAGGAGAATCTGTTTCTGTGCCTGCCCGGCCTCAAGAACTAACAGATTTGGAAATTTTTGCACCATCAAATACCAGAATCACGTTTAAAATAGCGAAATGTTATATGTCTTAACATTAACAGTTATATTTACGTGTCATAATTCCGAGGTATTTGTATGTAATTAATGACCCGCCTTGTAATTCAGTTTATGCTGCAAAAAGGTTGAATAAACGATCATCATTATTATTATTATTATAAAAATTACGGTGTTAAGAACTAACTTTCATTCGCATCTCGGATATTTCACATTTGCCCTCGTTTTCAAACCGGAGTTTAGGCAACGTGGCACTCAAGCCGCGAGTGCTCGCACAATCTGTGGGTGGATTCATTTGCAACATACGCGTATAACTGTCGTATTTACCTGTTAAAATTTTTCATTGTTTTTAATTAGCCTAACAACACTGAAAAATTCTAACAGGTAATCGCGACAGCTATACGCTTATGTTGCAAATGAATCCACCCTGTTTTTCTTTCGCTTTCATGACGTTAATTAGTTAATTTCAATCAGTTAATTTAATTTTCATGACGTTAATTAGTTAATTGGTCCCTTTGGCACACCGCAAAGCATAAATTATTTACACGAAAAAATGTAAGCAAATTAAAAGGCTGCTGTAAGTTTCTCATCACTGCTCATTGAATTCTCTGGCAAAATACTCATCGTGTCGAAAACTGAGGCCAGATATCCTTTTTTTTTCCTCTCGATCCACAGAAAGGCAAGCTCGCAAATTGAAATCCTCGCCCTCTCTAATCGGTATTTTTTTTTTCATATCAATGTCAAATAGCATTGGACGTAGTTTATCTTACCCTCTCTCCGGAATAAGCTTAATTAACGTAATTAACAAGTTGTGATGGTTGGTCAAAATAGGTTTGGCGTTGCCGATTGAGCATTTGGGTCGGTTTCGTCCGAGTTGAAAATTTGAGACTGCCGTTGACTGAGTCCTTTTCAATCTATTGCTTGGTCAGGTATTGAAAAGAGTTCTTGGAAGTTGAAGAGCGGCGCAATGGGTTCATTCAGTTCAAAAATGCGCCAATCTACATCTGAAAATACCGGAAATACCACGAAAATGTCTGAGTCTGAAGCGAGTCCTGGCGAAGCAGCAGCAAGTGAAAGAACGACCGGGCGCACAGATGTAACGAACGGTGAAAAAGCAAAGATTGGCAACGTACATCAAGAAAAACCAAAGGTTGTTCAGTCGTTTGGTTGGCTTGTAGAGACTCCAGTTATACTTCACACAACCGCAAAAGAGATCAAAGACAAGGGTAAAAAACCTACAGAGGATCCAAAAGTTAAATCGATCAACGTCGCAACCTACAGCGATGGAAAATATCTCAAAATGGCCGAGTTGGCGTTACCCGCAAGTTCCGCTACAAAACCAAAAAAGCAGCATTTACAGGTCGTTAACTCCTCTTCATCCAGCTCGTCAGACGGCAAACACGGGAGCGATATCATTTCAAGTGGCTGCGAGGGAAATACGCGTAAAAATCAGATAAATTCAGGCCAGAACAATAACGAAGATTTCGCCACGACCGCTCGTCCCGGAGGAACGTACCCTGTCGGTTTCGGAGTAATCGGCAAGAAAGATTCCGTTGACAAAACTTTTCAGGCAGAAAATGACATTCGCTCCAGCAAACGTTCATCGCAAGTAAGGGGAAAGTCTCCTGTATCATTCAAGGGAAACAAGTCTGCCAAGAAATAACCGTTGCAACACTGATTTACTGAGGAAATTCTAACAATATTGAAAAGAAAAATGATCTCAAAACAGTTTTCTAAGCAAAAAGAAAAAAGTTATAAAAATTATACAGCGATCTGACCAGAAAAAGGCCAAAACCCTGTCTACTAAAAATCACCTCAAAACTAAAAGAAAAAAATAACAATAATAAAAAAGATGAGGAGACAGATAAGAAAAAGAGAAGTACAGGAGGAAGAAAAACAAATCACATGTATGTTTGCGCTTTAATTTTTTTGAAGAAAAAACGTTTCAAAACTTCAGCTGGATCAGTGTGTGTTTATAACTCGTATATTTTCAATTTTTTTCAAATTGAATACCTCCGTAAAAAGCCTGGGAAAATATTCAAGGAAGTGAAAAATTGTGTTGCACGTTTACCCATTAGATAAGTGAACAAGATTTGTTTTATTACAGTGTAACGGGGCTTATTTCATACGAACGAGGTAAAATTATTGAAGGATGATTTATCAGTACGGTTAAAAGGTCATGCAGATATGTTAACGGCCTTTTGTTATTTATTTGTACTTTGATGTATATATTTTCCAGCATATCATACTTACAACATAATATCCAAACAATAAAATGGATTTGTTAAATCTAAATTATCTTTTTACTTTGATCTAACGACACTTCTCCTCCAGCAAACGGTTTTTCAGGAATAAAAAAATGAACTTGTTTAGATAGGAAAACCAAATTTGTTTTTCAAGGCATCCTTTAAGGTAAATCATAATTACATCCGACCTTTACCGAAAGAATTCTGAAGGCAAGAAATCTATATCACTGTCAACCTCGTTCCCAGGGTTCTCTCCTACCCGCCCCCATGGGGGCGGGTAGGAGAGAACCCTGGGAACGAGGTTGTATCACTGTCGGACCACCCAACAAGAAAATGAAATTAAAACATTATAATAAGTTTTTGTAATTTTGGTGAGACATTGCAGTGGGTTGTAAACAGCGTTTCTGGATCTTTTCATGTCAAAAGGAATGTTTCATTTGCAGAATTGACGAAATGTAAAAATCAGCGGATTGTTTCCTTGGAAACACAGGCTTCCTCGAACCCTTTGAGCCCTTTTACTTCGACCTTATCTGCCATTTTACACTCGAAAAGGGAAATAGCCTGAAATAATGCCAACAAAAGTCAAAAGGAAAATATCCTTTTTTAAAACAAGCTAGGGACTTCAATTCAATGCTAATGTAAAATCCTACTGTACTGACATCTGGTAATTTTTTGTTTTGTAAAATGTTGTTGAGTATCGAGATCTGTATAATTCAGGCAATTGAGCGTGGAGAGTATTATAGTACTGAATTTGTCGAGTTTTGCTGAACCTTTCATTGGCTGAAAATCACGTGCTTCTTTCATAACCAATCAGGAATGAAGATCAATGAAACAAAAACCAATCGTTACTGTTGCTCGCAGGTGTTTTCCCGCGCTCGCACTGCAGTCGCGACATCTACTTGAATTCCGATTGGTTCATCGGATTATCTGCCTCTTCTGTGATTGGCCAAGGTTAACACATGGACTTTGCCTTTGCTTTACCAAACGAAACTGAGAAATGCTTCATGTAATTTTGATGGTGATAAAATAAGACCAAATGTGCTTTCGATTGACCGTATTCTTTAATTCACCATTTTCAAATAGACCACGATGCACATTGTTTACCCCCTTTCCCCTCTCTCCCCCCCCTCCCCCCTCACTCCCCAAATTTTGCATACATATTGTTTCCAATTTCTCAGTTTTGTTGTTGTTGTAAAAGCAACCGTGAAACAAGGAAAGTTACCTCATTATTCCGTTTTATTCCAACCGTTTCGCTCACCAGTGCAGAATTTTTCGAATGTATTCCACTTATTCCGGAAAAGGAATAGCAGGTCTATCGAACGGCTTTCTCGAATTTTTCTATGTATTCCTCCGGAATAAGCTAGGCTGATCAAAGATCAGACCAGTAGACAGTCCAATGAAACAAAATTTTAATCTTGGATACAGAAATTAATCCGGTTTTAGTTTTGAATTGACAGGTAAAA